TATTCTCTTAGACAACCTCTGAGGCCGTCACAGAGCAGCTGTATTTGTACTGACATTAGATTACACACAGGTGCACTCTATTTAGTCATTAGCACTCATCAGCCAACGTCTATGTGCAACTGACTGCACTCAGACCAAAGGGGGCTGAATGATTACGCACACCCCACTTTGCAGTTATTTATTTGTAACAAATGTTTGAATCATGTTTGGTTTTCGTTCCACTTCTCACGTGTTCACCACTTTGTGTTGGTCTTTCACGTGGAATTCCAATGAAATGGATTCATGTGTGTGGCTGTAATGTGACAAAATGTGGGAAAGTTCAAGGGGGCCGAATACTTTTGCAAACCACTGTATGAATGGGAGCTGAGCTACTTTGAACCTAGATTTGCCCCTGCAGTTTAACACACTTGAAGGAAGTGTTTTCTATGTCCTGTCACTACGTGCCTTTAAACATCAAACCAATTTAAAAATAAATGGGGGGAACAGCCTAAGCAGAGAAGCCCAGACCTCCCTCTCCCCAGCTACCTGCTTATCCGGGGGAACACCAAGGCGTTCCCAGGCCAGCTGAGAGATATAATCTGTCCAGCATGTCCTAGGGCTGCCCCAATTTTAAAAAGACGATTTATTAATCATCTTTTTAAAATCAGATATAAGATCTGTATGTGATGTAAAGTTACGTTTTTTCATATAGTGAAATGTCCCACATGACGAACTGAAAGTTCATCACCTTTTGGAGAGTCAGGTGATTAGAGGAAGTTGTAGCCCCTTTGCATTTCCAATTCCAAAAGAAGACTGCTTTTTGGGTTATTTATATTTAACCACATTACAGATGCATTACGGAGACAAAAGGATTGTCTCTGTAATGCACCAAGCACATTTCAAAGATTGATGGAGAGAATGTTTGGTTCCCAGATTCACCAATCATTTTGTTGTATCTGGATGATGTAATTGTCTTTTCTGCCATAGTGGACGAGCGGTATAAAGCATATAGTTAGGGCTGGATCAGGTGACCCTGAATCCTCCCTTAGTTATGCTGCAATAGGTGTAGGCTGCTGGGGGATTCCCATGATGCACTGGGTGTTTCTTCTTCACTCACTATGTGTTTATACACCCCACTGTATTTAATCACTAGTTATTTGAATCTATGGCTCTCTTCCACAGCATGTCTTGTCCTGTCTTCCTCCCCTCACCACAACCAGTCACAACAGAAGGCATCGCTTATGAAGCCTGGTTCTGCCAGAGGTTTCTTCTTGTTTAAAGTTTTTAGTTCTCCTGTTGCCCAAGCACTTGCTCATACTGAGTTGTTTGACTGTTGGGGTTGTCTGCATTATTGCGAAATAAATTCAGAGAATGCAGTTTTATTTCATTATGAAGAGTTTAAAAAGCATAAATCAGTAAATTTTCAAGAATTGCAAAATAAGGAAGTTTCACACTTAATTTTTGAGACTCAGGTACATGAAAAATGTATTTATGGCAGAGATTCAGATATACTGTTTAAAAGATTACCCTGCTTTTACCCATTTTTGCAAAAGATACACTATTAAGTTCTTTTCAAACCTTATTATCTATTTTTTATCAGGATCCGAGCTCACACCTGTGTATTTGAAATCATTAATCTCCAGCCATTTATAAAAGCTACACCTTCATTAAACCAGTTTGAGATAAGAAGATAAAATGATGTATGCAGCCACAAAAAACAAAACAAAAAACCTTGATTCCCTACTGACATGTTTTTAGATTTATCAGGACTCCACTGAGGTTTTAAATACATTTTTAACTGAGGAAACCCACCTGACCTCAATTAAATTTATCAGAGGTTGGTAAATGGTAAATGGCCTGTATTTGTGTAGCGCTTTTACTAGTCCCTAAGGACCCCAAAGCGCTTTACACTACATTCAGTCATCCACACATTCACACACTGGTGATGGCAGCTACATTGTAGCCACAGCCACCCTGGGGCGCACTGACAGAGGCGAGGCTGCCGGACACTGGCGCCACCGGGCCCTCTGACCACCACCAGTAGGCAACGGGTGAAGTGTCTTGCCCAAGGATATTTGATATGCAGCCAGGAGGCAGCCTGGGATCCACTGACCTTCTGATTAGTGGCTGACCTGCTCTGCCACCTGAGCTACAGTCACTTTAAGGTTCAACTTAAAGGAGCAGTAACAATTTCTAAATGTATTTTATGGAGATCAACAATGAAATTTCAATGCTGATCCACCAGTTTTCCATTCTTTAAATGCAACAAAAGCAGAAATATCCGACTGATCCTCCCATAGTCTCAAAATCTGCTTCACATGAGTCTTCATGGATAAAATTTCTTGTCACTGGGCTGTGGCAGGAGATTGACGAGGAATCCAGCACACGGGGTTGTTTATCAGTGCGATTTACTGCAGGAACAAAAAAAGAAGTATTAATTTACATTTCATTTTGCTTTTTTTGTTCTGGCTTGTTCTTGAATCCTCTTTGGCAAACCTACAATCTACCTTCACTAACTATGGTTCAGATTATAAAAACAATTCACAGCAGGTTCTCTATGAGAGATATACTGATTGGATAACAAAATGCAAATTAATAAACTGCAAGCTTTTACATAAAAGGCAATATAAAAACAACTTGAACATATATTCAAGCTGTTCAAACTTTAACTTCAAGTAATTTAATGTAATAAAACTTTCAAACATTAATGATCTTATTAATGCTGATTTATTAGTACAATTATCTTTGCACTAATCTCATTTGAGCTCAATGTTAAAAGTCTATACTGCATACTACACTATTTATGCCATGCTAAACTTAGACCTAAAAGTAAAGAAATTTGTGTTTGGCAAGTTTTTCTTGTGCACAACTCACAAACTCACACACAAATCCATTTTCCTTACATGTGTCACCATTTAAGAGGAAATAAACAGGCTTTCCAACGGAGTCAAATTTATTGCCAAAAAGCATTGTTACAAAAAATAAATAATCAACCAAACACAAATTTCTTTAATTTTTCTGAAAGATATTTTATGTCTTCTACTCTAACATTTTTTTTTTTAATATTTCTACATTTTTTTCCCCATCATACTTTGTTCAAACTGACACTTTGCTATCTGTTTCCTCCATAGCATACCAGCAACCAGTGTAGTGCTGCTTTGACAAAAATCAAAAAACACAGAAATAAACTTTAAATAAGCTAGTTTTTACAATATTTGATCCGACTCTTGATTAGCCAGGATCAGACTAACATCAGACTGGTGCCCATCTTGAGTTGTAAGTAACTAAACTCTTCAAAAATTTGCACTGTGGTACAGTTTGTTTGAAATACATCCTGTATTTGTAGAGCAAGAACTCAGTCTTATGTATAAATCAAATCATTACAATAGTAAATTTACAGTAAAATAATGTAACATATTTATGCATCACTGCACAGGACCAAGCTTGATCCAACACGTCTGCAGTTCGAAACTTACTGATGCTGTTCTTGACAGGCTTCGCCAGTGTTTTCCTCATCAGTTTCCCCTTCAGCTAAAACACAAATGTAAAAAACTAAAGTTAATTATTCTATATCTATATGGCTACAGTTTCTGTAAAGATGGTGCACATACATTTTGCATTAAACAACATGGCAAGGATAAATTGCAGAATGACAAGGTTTGTGGTCAATCTAATGTGAAGGCCATTCTTCTCATTATTTACTGCAGTGTTTCCCAGTGGTTGTGGATTACCTATGGTGGTAAGTGGTGCTATTAGGTAGTTAAAATTGCAACCCAGGTTATATTTGTATAAATTAAAGACTGAAAATTTCCCACTGTTACTGAACACCTCGCATCCAAGGCATCTGTACACACCTGGAGAGAGGGATTAATGACTTTGCTAAATATAAGGGTGCTCCTCAATAATTTTTTATTTTCTATTTAGGAAGTATTAAAAAAGTAAAAGAGCTGTAGCTCCCACAATTATTGTATATCATTACCCATAAGAAGGATCGAAGTACATTTTAGTGAAATAAAAAGAAAGCACTACAGCATTAAAGTCTGAATTAGTTTCACTTAAAGCTATCCCCTTGTCATCCACATCTACAAACACACACAAAGAACATACAAAAATTGTTGTGTTGCAACGGTTTTTGTATGAACATCCCTGCATAAGATACTTACCAGGCATGAGAGGTATATGCTCATAGACAGGTTTGTGACCTAAACACACAGAAAAATATTAAATCAAACTGTTGTAACCTGTTATCAGACTATCAATTTTTTTTCTTTCTGCTAATTATCTACTATTTAATTCAGGCCACTAAAATCTGTCAGAGAAATTGTTTGTAAAGTGTTTCCCACTCAATTGATATGTAAAAGTTAAAAATATACATTATATAAAATCTTAACAGTTACAGATTACCTTTGCAGATACATTCTGATATCTTAATTTAAACAACTTTCAAAATCTACAACAATTTAATTATTTCAATATTTATTTTCAAGTAAGAGAAACAAGTTAATAATTATTCAGGACCACAGATAAGTTTAATGATATTTTCAATGTTTCTAACATCTGTTTGTAATGTTTGATCTATAACTATTGTAAGATGGTTGCAAATCAGTGCTACTATTAGTGTTTTCACAGAGTTAAATGAAATGGACTGTAAAAATCAACAATAAATAGTTTCTTCTCTTCCATAGATCTGGGTACCAGGATAACACTAACACTGGGTGAAATAAGTATTTGATCCCCTGCTGACACCCTATTAGAGCACTTTGCTCTCGCTCTGCAGGCCTACTTGTTGTTCCTAGAGTATTTAAAAGTAGAATGGGAGGCAGAGCCTTCAGTTTTCAGGCCCCTCTTCTGTGGAAC